GAAAATATCCTAACCTCTGCAGCCAAAGTCTTTTGCAATGGAATTAAAGTCTTCTTCTCCAACCTAGAAACAGCTATGACATGAGTTTGGAATAAAACACTGAGTCTACAACTAAAAATCAAACTCCTCAATACCTGAAATATTTCACTTAACAAGTTTAAGGAATCCCCAAAGTAATTACATGAAAGTACATAATTTGTTACCTACTTAGTAATTCTGAAACAGCCACACAGGCATCCAGGAACTATTACGCTGTCAACAATCCGAGGAAACGAGGGAGAGAAAATAAATTTCATGGAAGAAAGATCGCTACATTTGTAATCATAAGAGAAGAATATCCAAAAGCTTCACTTACTGAGTACATAACCACACCTCCGAAGTCTGAGTATGAACTAAAAGACCCGGTCTGTTCAGAGACCTTTTCTTCGTGAAAATTTGATTGGCCAAAAAATTTAATGATTTGGTAATCAACCATTATTGAGGTGCTATTTTATCTCCGCTATTCAGTATATACTCAAAGGGCCTCATACTCTAGGTTAGCCGCAGTACCTCCTGTTTTTCCTTAATGTTCCCTTTGGCGACTAGCGAAGAGTTGGGTATTCTGAATAAAAGCAAGCGTTATACAAAAAGAGCAATGCTTAGGCTGTTCACAGACCCACAGCCATTTCCCCCTGTCTATGCTTGCTTTTACTTTTTAAAAAAAATACTGAATCTCAACTTCTAGTGCACAGTTGTACACCCAACCAAATCCGAAAACAAAATACTGTAATGCTAAAGGGTTTGAAGTTTAGCGCTAACCACATCCCTAAATTGCTTCTAGTGGACCTTAGCCGATGTTCTTCCCCTTTCTGGGATCGCCAGCGTGGAGCTTACACAAGTTTGACAATCTATGTCAGCCAGCAACCTTCCGAGACCTTCACTGCTTAGTACAATTTGTTGCATTTCCACTTCGCGCTATAACAAAAATGTGATTCCTCATATTTTGATTGATCGCGTTCAACATTTAACTTGTGCTTATACTAGGTGGCAAGATGATGTAAACTCATTAATTTTAGGAGAAGTATCAATTATCATTACAAAACGAAAAATTGCCCTAAAATCATGAGGGAATGTTAACGAATAATCCAGTTTAAAAATGAGAACAGAAAATTTGACCCTTATTGTCTTACTATTTAAGTTAAAGAGCTGTTACTGATATGCAATCGAATGATTCGCCTGCCTCAAGGAAAGACTCCATCATCAAAAAATTATAATTACCAATGCCTTCGTTGGCCATCAGCGCCAATATGAAATAGTACAGTGGCACAATGTTAACATTAGGAAGAATGACGGTGCAGTCGGTCAACTTACAATCCTTTAGAGTCAGCATTTCGTATAAGATAATACATCAGGTCCTCAATAGTACATACCTAAACTGAAAATCGCTTAAGGCAGGAAAGGCTATCAAGGGCAAATGTACCTCTTTTGTGAGTTTAGTCAAAACATCTAGAGTTGCTTTAACTGCAAATTCGAGTCTTTTCACGTCCTCCAGCGGTACCTGTAATTAGAATGAATTGAACTCCCAGGCATTGCGCCGCTCTCACGAAGAGTACATAATGCAGCTAAATTTACATTATTGTTTTCAGTTTGGTCTATAACACAAGGAATTAGTTCCAAAGTGTCCAATATCTTGCCGACTAAGGCAGATATGGTCGTTGTTGTGTTCTCAATAGCAGCTAGATCACATCGCAGATCCATGTTGGTGGGATGAAGACTTACTGAACAAATTATGTGGGAACTGCGAGCAGCGAACATAAGTTTTAAAAGAAAATCATTGTTCCAAAAGGTGTAATAGCAAATGGTATGAGAGTTTCAAAATAAAGATACACGCAAATGTGATAATAAGAATATCAGATCGCAATCAAGTTAGTTAGCAACTAGTGCGGTCTTCAAGTATCGTTTTAATAGAAAACAGCAATGAAACGTACCAAAAACAAGTATGAAAGAAGAGAAACATTTGGTTGCAGAGTGTATAATAGCGATGATGATAAGTTTGACATATGTATTCTAAGCACATTCCAAAAATATATAGAAAATCAAACCACTTTGGAAGATATGGAAAAGGAATCTTTTTTGTTTATAATAAAACTATTAAACTATCACGAGCATCTTATAAAACAATCTCGCGAAGTGAACTATCCAAGTGTTCGAATGTTACCCCTCGTTGTTCGCGCTCATCCAGTACCCTATGTAATTGATTGGAGATCAGCTGGAAGAATGAAATTGGAGAGGTGGCATTGCGAAGTCATATAGTGCTTTTTCCGCATAGAAGAACTGAGTTGCAAAAAATCTTCTATTTTAGAAGAGTCACCTATAGATGCAGAAGATTGTCAAAAGATAGAATGCTGTGATCACAACTTAAACGATATTAGTATGACTTTATTTGCGTCATGTTTAGTTATGATGTTGCATACATTTTTATGTTGCAATGATTGAGACATATCAGATTGTTACATAATTTGTTATGGATTTTGTAGACGTTTATTTCCTCGATTTTTTAAATTTCAGCAAATATTATTTCCTTTTCAAGCACTTTTCTTGCTCTACAGGACTACATTCATAGTGTTCTGGTTTTTGAAAAACTTGTTAAGCTGATGTAAGAAGCAAGAAAAGCAACAAAAAGGTTTTCATGTGATTTTCATGTTTTTT